ATTAATCCTCCCATATGAAAGGTTTATTAAAGGAGAGGAAGACAAGCCCCTGCCTCCAATCAAACCTCGGAAACAGGAGAACAGTTCACAGGAAAATGAGAATAAAATGAAAGTATCAGGAACCAAACGCATCAAACATGAAATCACTAAGAGCAAGAAAGAAAAAGAGAATGCCCTGAAGCCCCAGGATGCATCTGAGGTGAGTTTCTCTCCACAGAAATGCCATCGTGAGATGTGTCCCAACTCAGGGTCTCCCAGAGCCCTGCCCCTATAGCCGTGACCCTGCCCCCATAGCCGTGACCCTGCCCCGTAGCCGTGACCCTGCCCCTTAGCTCTGACCCTGCCCTGTAGCTGTGACCCTGCCCCATAGCTGTGACCCTGCCCCTTAGCTCTGACCCTGCCCTGTAGCTGTGACCCTGCCCCATAGCTGTGACCCTGCCCCGTAGCTATGACCCTGCCCTGTAGCTGTGACCCTGCACAGTTGCAGCACTAGACTGAGAAATCAAATCATCTCAACTGTACAATTCCCCAAATAGTGGACCTTTCTGTTTTCTCCAAAACCAAAGGGCTATGCCTGGTACTGAATAGGATAGGCCAAGAAGATGATCGACAAAGATGCTAACATCCGCAGGAAACTGATAGCGTCCACTGACTTGGAGGTAGAAAGAGCCGGAGCTCTGGCTCTGCGAAGCCAAGGGACCCGACCTGAAAGATGGCGCAGCTTCTTTGCTGCCTCACATCTCAGTCTATCCAAGGAGGTGGTGTGACTTTAGAAGCGCTGTGGGATCTAGCAGGGAGGGACATTGAAACTGATGTCCCTGCAGGACCGTCCTGGAAACTGAGAGACTCTGTTGCCTCCTGTAATTGACCTGCGTGCAGCAGCCTTGGGTTGAGACCAATTTAGAAACATCTTAAGTACATATTATTTATGGGGAAATTTTGAAATGGTTCCTCTGAAACCATTATTATCTCTCATGTTAACAGGTAGTTTCTGAACCTTTTAAAACAAGCCCCAGCTACCCGCAGCCCCCAATAGTTCTTTGGTAGAAGCCATTAATGTCAGCACACAGCCAGTCATGGAAGCTGATCTGGGCTCTGTTTCAACATGAATAATAAAAACCCTGCTGCCCATAAAAAAAAAAAAAAAAAAAAAAAAACACGTAGCAGCCACATTTGGAGACAGCATGTTCTAGGATTCAACCCCAGAGGGAATTTTGTTGCTGATATTAAACACCCCCTAAAAAATCAAGTTTATAATGAACACATAAGAGACTCCCTAATTAAACACTGGTTTAAAACATACACAGCACCACAATCTCCTAACTAGAATTCAGCTCACCCCCACTGAACCCTGTGTAAGAAGAGAGTATTAATTGAAACACAAAATTTGGTTTTGGTTTTATTTTGGTTTCACAATTATTTTAAACTCTAGTCATTTAAAAGGGGGAGAAGGGATGATGCAGAGACTTCTAAACATCTGCAAGCTTGCCACATAAACGGCCAAGAGCAAGGACATTCCAAGTTAAGGCTTACATTCCATTCCTCCTCTATCCTGTTGGCCTGGTGATTTATTATAGGGTTTTGGATCAGTGAGTTCTATTGGATACCATGTGTATAGCATTGCCAAAACACCAGGGGGCAAACTGAGGACCAAGAGGCCAGCTGACCTCTGAATGGCTCCACTTTGGGGATGAAGTTTAAAATGGTTGGTTTGTAAGTTGTGGAAGAAATTTTCAGCCCATGCCCTGAGCCCATCAGCTAAGGAGATGACCGTTGTCAGGAGCAGAACCCAACGTCCTGCCGTCCAGAGAAAAGCCTTATGGCTGCCTTTGTTCCATAGGTCCCCACAGCTTCCTTCAGGGTGCTGTTCGTGACTTCAGTGTCAAAGGTTATGATGGCCAGGTTATCTAAACTACCTGGAATCTGCCCTGGCTTGTGTGGCTCAGTTGGTTGAACATCATCCCATGCACCAAGGGGTCACCTGTTTGATTCCCAGTCAGGACACAAGCCCAAGTTATGGGCTCAATCCCCAGTAGGGTGTGTGCAGGAGGCAGCCAATTGATGTTTGTCTCTCACATCAATGTTTCTCCCCCCTCCCCCCTTACTTTCTCTCTAAAATCAATAAAAAAGAAAAGAAAAGAAAAAAAAAAACATATTAAACTGCCTGGATTCCCACACCCTCTTCAAGGTTCCCCTTATAGTAAGAATTGTTCCCCAGCCCTGGCCGGTTTGGCTCAGTGGTTGGAGCATCGGCCTGTGGTCCAGAGAGACCTGGGTTCGGTTCCCGCTAAGGGCATGTACTTTGGTTGCAGTTTGTCCCCGGCCCTGGTTGGTCGTGCGGGTGGCAGCCACTCGATGTGTCCCTTTCACATCGATGTTTCTCTCTCCCTCCCACTCTATCTGAACAAAAAATGGAAAGATGTCCTTGGGTGAGGATAAAAAAAAAAGAAAACAGAATTGTTCCCCACCTCCAACACAGACCTGTTGTTGTCCAGGTCTGTTTCTTCTCACTGATTATTTGTCTGGAGCTTTGGGCCAGGATTTTATTGTCACTGTTTTTCATTTTTTCATTTTTGATGTTTTCTATGTGAAGCAGTGAACTCAGTGGAGATAGGAGAGCTTATAAATCCCTTCCAATCAAACCCGATATCTTCAGGGAATTGGAATGCAAGTTGTCCGGTGGGAAGATACCATTTAACATACTAAGTGCAGATCATAAAATTCCACCCCAGGGAAAGGGTCTAGCTTTTTTCTGTCTAGCTCTCAAAGACTTCCTCACCCTGCTTTACAACCGAAAGCAGGGAGCTCCATGAAACTGAAGACCTGGGCCATAGAACCTCAGTGGAAATGAGCATCCTCTATAGCCCCACTTCAACTGCAGTCCCATCAGCAACTACCATTTAAATCCAATTTGCCCTTTTCCCTTGCTGTCCTCATTTTGCTGTATTTCTTGTAATGTAAGAGCTCGGGAGAAAAATGATGATTGCTAATGTGAAACAAGTAATGTTATTTGCACTAGAAAAGGCAGTTATTGGTACAAAAAAACAAAAAGTGAAAAATGGCACACAAAGGCTCTTAGGATCACACACCTCTGAACAACAGGGGTATCTTTAGGTGGATTTAGGGAGAAATGTCTATCAAATGGATATGATTCCTTAAAATTTCTGTTCCTATGCACCCCTCCACCCGCATGCTCAGTCTCACCTAAAAATGCCACTGTGGTCGAAACTTCTTTCCTTAACAAAGAAGAACAGTGTTCATAGGATGAGATGAAGCGAGAGAAAGACCAGTTCAATACAACTGTTTTGGGACTGTTCTCCACTACGACATGTCAGGGCAGAGGGACAGAAGTTTTGAAAGAGCTTCTCTGTCAGCTGGGTCACAGATTGAAAGTTAAAATGACCTTCCGAGGTCAAAGTTTGCGCAGTACATAATGCAATGAATGGGTCGAATTGTGCCCACAACTCCTGTCAATAGGGACACACACAGAGCATCCATCCCGTTGACTGCAGTCTGTTTCCATGAACAGAAAAGCTGTGTGGTGGCGCTCACTGCCTGCCTTTTGACAACTTCATTTTCAGTTGTAATAGAAATGGAGTTTGTTATAATAGAAATGGAGTTTGCTGCAGCCTAGAAGGACTTACAGTCCTCCTGTCCCTCAGGTAGACAGGCTCACGCTGCCTCTGCCTCATTTTCCAATATTCTAGCTTATCTGCATGTCACATGGCACTGAGTAGAAATTACCAACACTTGAACATCACTAATTTTATGCCTCCAATTGGACACATGAGGACGAGATCCACCCTCTCAAGGAAAGGAGTTACAGTGAGTTGGTTGTTTGTTAACATGGGGGTGGTTAGATTTTTGAAAGAGAGATGCTTAAAAAAAAAATCTTTCTCCAAAGTGTCATAAAGCACAACATGTAATTTAAAACCCATTTGGATAATTGACTGATTTGACAAGAAGACAACCTCGGAATTAAGCTATACATTAGACTCAAGGAGTGATCTGATTGTATAGCATCAGTACATAGCACTTGGATATTTTGATAAGTATCTCCTGAGGGATTCTGGTGAATGTGCACACTCCCCCTAATGTTTCTATAATTTAGATTCTTTGTTTAGAGCTGTGATTGGGGAGTGATAAAGCTTTGCAGCAACACCGTGAACTGATTGACAGGCCTGTTTTCAAGAAAAACTGCTGTGTGTAATATTTTATTTCATAGCAAAGTGTGCCAATGCATTTGGCTTCCTTCTGACTGTCTTGCAATATTTTATCAGGTTTCACCAGAGCAAGAGAAGGAGCAAGAGACTTCAAACCAGAAAAGCATCACTGAGCCCGTCCCAGTGGCCGACGTGAAGAAGAAAACGGAAGGGTTCCAGGATTTTGCAGCGAGGCCCCTGGTGTCTACAGCAGACCCAGAAAAGGACAACAAAACAGACCAAGGTGCCAGCAGTGAGAAGGTGGCGGAGGAGGTGGGGGAGAAGGGGCCCTCTCCTGCGCTGCCCAGTGCCCCTCCGGCCCCCGACAGGGACCCAGGGGCTGGCAAACAGGCTCTCACCTCCCCCAGTGCTCTTGTGGACTCCAAACCAGAACCCAAGCCCTGCTGCTTTACAGAGAGCCCCGAAAACGAGCCCCAAGACACGTCCTTCCCCGGCTTCCCCACCACGCAGCCATCGCTGGCAAACCAGAGCGAGATGGACGACGACAAGGTGCCCGCCATGGCAGATTACATCGCCAACTGCACCGTGAAGGTGGACCAGCTGGGCAGTGACGACATCCACAATGCACTAAAGCAGACCCCAAAGGTCCTTGTGGTCCAGTCATTCGACATGTTCAAAGACAAAGACCTGACTGGGCCCATGAATGAGAACCATGGGCTCAATTACACTCCCCTGCTCTACTCAAGGGGCAACCCAGGCATCATGTCCCCACTGGCCAAGAAAAAGCTTTTGTCCCAAGTGAGTGGGGCCAGCCTCTCCAGCAGCTACCCCTACGGCTCCCCACCCCCTCTGATCAGCAAAAAGAAACTGATCGCGAGGGATGACCTGTGCTCGGGTTTGTCCCAGACCCACCACAGCCAAAGCGCGGACCACACGGCAGTGAGCCGGCCGTCGGTGATTCAGCACGTGCAGAGCTTCAGAAGCAAGCCCTCCGAGGACAGGAAGAGCATCAGTGACATTTTTAAGCATGACAAGCTGAGTCGATCGGATCCCCACCGCTGCAGCTTCTCCAAGCATCACCTCAGCCCCCTTGCTGACTCCTACGTGCTGAAGCAAGAGGTCCAGGAGGGCAAGGAGAAGCTGTTAGAGAAAAGGGCTCTCCCCCACTCCCACATGCCCAGCTTCCTGGCCGATTTCTACTCCTCCCCTCATCTCCACAGCCTCTACAGACACACCGAGCATCATCTTCACAGCGAACAGGCATCCAAGTACCCGTGCAGGGACATGTACAGGGAATCGGAAAATAGTTCTTTTTCTTCCCACAAACACCAGGAAAAGCTCCATGTGAACTATCTCTCGTCTCTACATCTGCAAGACAAAAAGGCGGCGGTAGCCGAAGCCACCACAGATGACCAGCCAACAGATCTGAGCCTTCCCAAGAACCCGCACAAACCCACCGGCAAAGTCCTGGGCCTGGCCCACTCCCAGGAGAGCAAAGGAGCGTCCCAGTTCCAGGTCATCAACAGCCACAGTCGAGACTGTCACCCCAAGGCCTGTCGGGTGTCACCCATGACCATGTCGGCTCCTAAAAAATACCCTGAAGCCCTCTCGAGGTCTGCAAAACCTCACCACGTGAGATTGGAGAACTTCAGGAAGATGGAAGGCATGGTCCACCCCATCCTGCACCGGAAAGTGAGCCCTCAGAACATTGGTGCAGCACGCCCCATCAAGCGCAGCCTGGAGGATTTGGACCTCATGATCGCTGGGAAGAAGGCCCGGGCAGTGTCTCCTCTGGACCCGTCCAAGGAGGCCTCCGGGAAGGAGAAGGCCTGTGAGCAGGAGAGCGAAGGCAGCAAAGCGGTGCATGGTGCGCATGCTGGGGGGGTGTCAGAAGGCCACAAGCTGCCCCTCTCCTCCCCGATCTTCCCAGGTTTGTATTCTGGGAACCTGTGTAACTCGGGCCTCAACTCCAGGCTCCCAGCAGGGTATTCTCATTCTCTGCAGTACTTGAAAAACCAGACTGTGCTTTCTCCGCTCATGCAGCCCCTGGCTTTCCACTCGCTCGTGATGCAAAGAGGCATTTTCACGTCGCCCACAAATTCTCAGCAGCTGTACAGACACTTGGCTGCGGCCACACCTGTAGGAAGTTCATATGGGGACCTTTTGCACAACAGCATTTACCCTTTAGCTGCTATAAATCCTCAGTCTGCCTTTCCATCCTCTCAGCTGTCGTCCGTACACCCCAGTACGAAACTGTAAGCCCAGCTGTGCCCCGCATCCCAAACGGTGTGGCGAAAAGCTTCGCTTCCTACGCTGGGGTGATGGCTTGTAGAATTAGAAGTCAGTATTTCTTCTAATTTGGGGGTTAAATCAGTTCCAGCCAAAGCGGCCGAGAGGGGAGGTGAACATACCTGATTTTCCTGGGACGACACCAGCCAAGGCTGGCCAGTCTCGAGTCCCTTCCAACACAGACGCCCTCACATCCCAGATGGCTCACTTCGCTCGGGGGTCTTGTGGAGGGATTTATGCATATCCAGGAAGAACTTAGAGGACCCCGTCTGAGTTCCGATGGTCAGGAAACAATCTGGGCAAAAAAAGGGGCAGGCATTTCAAAGGAAGGGGCAAGGAAGACTGGCAAACATATGCCATGGGAGGGCCCTGTTTTCATAAAACTCTCCAAGGTTCAATCAATGCAATGTATAGTGAAACTTCAATAGATCTTTTTGTTTTGACACTATTGAACAATCAGAGAAGTAAACACTGTTAAATTGACTGTATATATTTGCTTCTTAAAACTACCCGTATCACTGTTTGCTCACCTAATTTATATACAGGTAGTTCCATTTTCTCCCGATTCCTTCTTGTCCTTTTTTTTTTTTTTTAATTAAACAGTATCGCTTTTGTTTGCAGGTCTTTTTTTGTTTGTTTTTTTGGTTTCCTCTTTTTCTTTTGTTTTGTTTTCAAGGCTGACTGTCCTAGGTTTTGATGTGTGTCTGTAATTTTTTCCCCACATCCTATCATTTTGAGCAGCTTTGGGTGGTAACGTTAATTGTTTACAAATTGAAGCAACTGATTCTAGTGGAACAGATGACAGAAGCAGCAGTCGAGCACACCGCAGTGCAAAGAACGTTCCTTGCAGGTCCGCAGCCGGCGGACTTGGTTCCTCATAAATGGCGTAGTTGAAAGAGCTGACACACTGCTTACCCGACCAAATGCTTTGCTCTGAAGTATTGGGTTATGTGAAAATATTGAGCATTGTACTTACCTTATCTAGGCTGTGAAACTGTCCTACATACCAGAGGAATCATAAAAACAAAAACCTCACTGGCAGCAAGCTGCTGAATAACAACGGTCGAGAGGACATACTTGTGGGCTGCACAGATATTTTAGGAATTTCAGAAATTAGAACAGGAGCCAAAATGATTTACATTGGTGTTGGCTCTGATCCTCCAGCAGTCCGGGAAAGGGGGTTGGGAAGTGGATGGAGCTCAACTCTCCAGAAGGAAGTGAGTCGCTGGAAGCCCATGCTCCAGGCACCTTCCCTGGGCCGTGGGCCTTGGAGTCCTAGGTGGTCATGTTGCCTGCACCAAATTGGTTTCTTGATATTCCCAGGAAGAACCTTCCAGGCCACATCTTTGGGGATAATTGGCACACTGGATTACCCATTTCAAAAGAAAGGCATCCTCTTTGGGTTTCTTGGGCGTGAGTTTTATGTGTGTGCACGCACTTAACGGTGGCTGGTGTCATGTTGCAGCCACCTGGCAATATAGCCCGCTTTGTAATGCATTTCAGTGTTGGAAAGAAATGGTCAAGCTGTCCACGCAGTCAAAAGATGTGGAGAATGTATATTGTCATTCTTGCCACTTGATTCCACTTGCTGCCAAGATAGAACATCAAGGTGGATGCGTTTTCCAAGTGTGTTCAAGATCAGTCCATACAGAGAGTGATTTTCTTTCCAGGTCCCATCCCTGCTGATAAGAATGCTTTGATGAACTCCCCAGCCAAACCTCCCCTCCCCAACACTACCAGTAGACATTAGAACCATAGTTAACCAAGTCTTTTACCTCTGAGATATTTGATTCTATGAAAATTGATGACAATTTTCAACCTTTAAATAGGTAACTCGACTGCAAAATAATCAAAACTGGTAAACAATGAAACTGCGGCTCTTAGACGAAGCCATGCATGCCGTGCATTTGTATTGAAATGTCTCCATAATACGAAGCCAAATATTCAATGTAACATACTTAATATCCAAAGGTGGAAACAAAAGAATGTAGAGATCTAGTGTTAAGAGTTCCATTTGCTTCAATTAATTATTTACCTTCCTGTGGAATAATATATATATATTTAATAGAACCATAGATAGACTAGTAGAATTTAGATTATAAATGTGTGAGTGCAGATTATCCTGCTATTGCACAAGATAGAGGGGGGAAAGAATCTCAATTCCAGCTGGCGGAACGCTGGCCAGGACCGACATAAGAAAGTTGCACTAGATTGGATGGTCACAGAATCAGAGGACATGGAAGATAAAGCAAACTCCAGTGTTTCTGCCACGGACATGGTTTCTATGAGTTTGTTTCTCAAAGAAAATGGGGGGGAGCCGTCTGTCCCTGGTGGAGCTCACCTATCCATTTGGAATATGGGGCATTTGTTTTCCCCACTGGGATGATTTCAGTCTGGTTTCATCATGTTGGAATTCGATCACACCATTTTCAAACAATGTTAACATAGTCCAGCTTTTGTTTTTCTCATCTCTTCCAAGAGGAGACTCACTGTTTCTGTCTGAGGAAGCTCACACCCTCGGCAAAACATCAGGACAAATAAAGAGAAATGGGGGCATACGTTCCCAACAGAAGCAGTGTGTTATTTGTTTTAAAACTCCGAAAAGAGATCTTGGAAATCTTCCAAAAAGACCATTGAATTCTTCATTGGCTGAGAACTACATTTTAAAAAGTCTTAAATAGGGCTTTGTTTGCATTGTTTGAGTTCAAGGGGCCTTATTATTGAATGGAATTGCACAAGCCTTTCTTTGTGCAATCAAACCATTGTTATTGGTAGTTCTGTAAAGGAAACTGTGGACTCTAATTGGCAATGGAGTTATAAATCTATTTACTGAGTGTGGCTTCCAAGAAATGTTGCAATTCAAAATGCACTAACTCCGTGATTTACTGGAGATTTGGAGATTCTAAATAATGTTGTTGTTTTTTTAAAAAGCCTTTCCATGCAACTTCTGGTTTAACTTTTGGCAACTCAACTTACAAAAAGAAAAGAAAAAAAAAACAGCCCAACCAAGTTTCAGAATTAAGTATTCTCCTACTAAGTGATTGGAACTTGTAATATTTGCCACAGGACTGACTTATTTATTTACTAGGTAGAAGCTCTTAAGTTCACTTGTTTATCAGGGCATATACAGAAGGGTTTGTTAAAACTCAATGTTGACTTTACAACTTTCTGACCTGGTGCATGAATTCTCAAGTACTGTATTTCACTGTGTTGGTGTGTCTGATGGAAATTTCGAGGTGATCCTACAAAAATATTTTATGTAGTGTGCCTTCAAAGAGAACCATTTATTTCTCTTCACTTGTGTCCCACAAAGTCACATTTGGTGGTGGTCAGCCAAGTCCCATCTGGTCCAGCTTTACTCTTGTCCCAATTTTAAAGAGAAATGGGAACAAGTTCGCCCTGGTGAGACCCACACCATTGCAATGATTATCTTGAGCACTTAAATTCCAGTGTTGGCTGTTGATGTATTTGATATTCTGCTTGTCTCCCCATGGTTGGAATATGTCTGAAGAATAGCAGCATAATCTCTTGGCTGTTTATACTTTTTTAAATTTTCCTGTGTTGTAAATATTGTATACTTTTGGTGATCCCAGCTATGTAACCTCTGCTCTGTAAGGTGATTATTTGTATATAGCAACATGGCCCAGTGATATTATATAGTTTCCCAATGGAGAGGTTATTGAGTAACCTTTGCATTAGTTTAAACACTACCAGAAGAATGCTGAGCCAACTATAAACACTCAATTTTGTATGTTTTCCAAATTGTACTTATTACTGCTTTTGATACTGTATTACGTGCCAATAGTTTCCCAATCACATAGCAGGCAAGAGATATTTTGTACTTTTTGATCCACTGTAATATTTAATAAAAAATGTTACTATCTGTTTCCTTTTGGGTATGAGTCATCTGTCACTTCCTCCTGCAGAGCCCTACGGCCTCACCGGAGTACTTACATTGTCTCCAAATTGGATAATGGCAGTAACGATGGTGGTGATGAGGTCTGTAGTTTGTGGAGAAATGACTGAGTGTCCAGTTGGCATGGAGAATCTCTAGTCTTCACAGTGCCACGTAAATATGGCATAGGCCCGTTTTACCTCTAAGAAACGAAAGCTTAGAGAGGTAAATCAACCTGACAACAAATTGGCAGAGTCAGAATTTGAACCCACGGCTCTTCAATCTGTGACTTCCTTTGTCTACCATACTCCTCTCCTGGCAGATAAGAAAAATCCCTATTTATTTGATTAACAAAGATTTACTCGTGCCTCAGTTGCCAGGCACAGCATTAGGAGCTGAGAATACAATGGTGAATGAAAGCTGAACATTGCCTCTGGAGCTTACACATTTGATGGGAAAGAGAGTTGACCAAATAGTCACCCGTATAAATGTAAAACCTCAGCCGGACCTAGTTCTGGGGGAAGCGGAGTGTGGTGCCCCATGTGACACATGAAGAGGAAATGGTGACTAAACTGATACTCGAAGGATGAGCCTCAGTTGACCAGATAAGAGGAAATTGGGGGAAGACTAAGGTAAGCCCAGGGTACCAGAGGCCCAAAGACCCCGAGGCAGAAACAGGTTTGGCTTATTATAGGAATCGGAGAAAAAGCCCGTGTGATAAGGTCCAGGGAATGAGGTGGAGGTGAGGTTAGAGGGTATAGCAGCGGCCAACCGGTATGTCCCAATAGACCAGGCTGGGCGGTGTACACGTTACTGAAGCAAGAGGAGGTTGAGGCAGGTGGCGACCTGCTGGTCCCTGCAGTGCTGCCCCTGGCTGCTGAGTGAAGGCGCATGGAGAGCTGTCTGACACCAAGACGGTGGCCATTTCAGTTGGGTCAGTGCGATGGGAGAGTGGACACATTTCAGAGGGGCTTGGAAGAAAGGATTTAACAGACTTGGTGCTGGATTAAATGGGACAGATGGATAGTCAGGAAGGATTGGAAAGCTATAGGGAAACAGCATAATCTGACATCTGGTGATGATGGACAAGCGACTTCTGAACTTTTGTCCCCTTAATCCTCTACCTCCAGGCTTCCCCTGGGTTTTCCTCAGCTTACTAGCGGTTGAAATGAGGCATTCACAGAGTAACACCTGGTGTGCTCCCTTCTTAATGTGTCCCAGTGACGGGGGAGGGAGAGGTCGGCAGACTTTGATGAGTACCTTGGTTCACAGCCCACACCATCTGATCAGGATGGACTTTGAATAAACAGAAGAAAGTAAGGCACTAGTAAGCATGTCACCACAACTGGGGGTTTGGGGAGCACATTTTGATAAATGACACAAGACTTTTTCTTACTAAGGTTGAGTCCCTCAAGGACCCTGCCCACCCGCAGGCCAGCAGGAGTTGCAGCAACATGTTAGAGGCCTCACCCTCTTCTTGCTGGCTGTCATCCCTCTATTTAGCCAAACACACCCAGCAGAGGAAGAACCCCTGGCCCGTGGTCTCCTCGCTCTCATGCTGATTCACGTGTATTTCACCATATCATGTGAATTGCTATGAGTACATCAGAAGAATGTTCCGCCATCTATGACACACTCAGCATTTACAGATCTGACACTTGAATCATACACAACAGGAAACATCATGATAAG